CACAATTGTGAACATGGCAGGCCTGGGCTTTCTTCGCAAATGCGATCAAGCCCTCGCAATTGCCAAGCCTGTTGGGCTCGCAATTGCAAAGCCTGACCTCGCAATTGCGAGATCAGAGCCTGCAACACAGCTGAACCTGCAACAACCATTTCTCTAAGTCCAAATTCACTCCGTGGCCTATCCAAAACGCACTCGAGCCCTCAGGGCTCCAAACCAAACATGAACGCATGTCCAAAAATATCATACGGACTTACTCATGCGATCAAATCATCAAAATAACATTAACAACCATGAATTAAACCCCAAATTCATAAAATTATTCAAGAACATCAAAATTTCTATTTTCTCAACTATACATCCGATTTATACCAAATCAATTCCGATCTTTACCAAATTTTATTGATTCAACTTAATAATTACTTTAAACTTGTACCAGGCTCCGGAACAAAGATACGGACCAGATACCATCAAGAAAATGTATCAATTCACATCTAAAAACCTTTATATTTTCCAGCAACCAAATTTCTTTAAAATTCATTTCTCGGGCTTGGGATCTCGGAATTCAATTTCGGGCATATGAGCAAGTTTCAAATTTTACTACGGACCCTACGAGATCGTCGGATCATATGTACGGGTCCATTTACCAAGAATGTTGACCAAAGTCAACTTTAATCAATTTTAAAGGTCATTTTCCTTATTTTAGTTAGTTTTCACATAAAAGCGTTTCAGAAACGCGCCGAGACTGTGTACGTAAATCAAGATGAGACAAAAAGAGGTTTTAAGGCCTCAAAACACAGAATTCACTTTCAAAACAAGTGAAGACCTTTTGGGCCATTACATAGAATGTGCACCTACTGGGGTAGAACGTCACCCGGTCTTTTTATACCTGTAGGCATGAACACAGCACCCAAAAGAAAATGGGTGTTAGTACGAAAAAATATAAAAACATACTGAGTATGTAAGACTAAGAAAACTTATAAAATCAATGCATAACATAGGAGATATTACTACTTGTTTTTACCCTTAACATCGAAGACAAGCCACCAGGGGCGTAATCTGTGAAAACTATGAACANTATATATATATATATATATATAAGTGCAATGCAATGTCCTTCTCAAGGAATACTAAGTTTAAACTCTGAATAAATCATACACTTCGACCTCAGGATGCCAACTTGGAACACTTTAGACTTTAAAAGTTATTCCACCAACGAGAATGTACAAGAACAGAACAACGTTATTGAGAGGAACTTAGAACTACCAAACCTTACAGTGTAGAAATCATTTAGGAGTGAGAGACTTACACCAAACTCATGCCAAGAAATATAGTTGCCCTAGATACCTCATCGCAGAACTAGCTACGCTTCTACAATGATTACTCTGCCTTCGACAAATCTCTAGAATCAACGCAACAAGATAATAGATGTTACAGTGATGTTTCAATTCTTTTTCACGCTAGCCTTACTAGGATTGCCTTCTGATCCAGTCTAGTTCTACTTAGGAATTTCAATGGAGGTTTGAGAGCATTTTTGAGTGAGTTATAGTGGGTGATACTTCTAAAAAATGAGAGAGAATGAGCCTTACTGCCTTTAAATATATGTACCAAACATAGAAAATTTCACCGCTCCACATGCAAAATGGGTCGTCTCGTATCAACTATTGTGCCCGATGGGAGAGTTGGTGAAAGTTGATCGCATGCAGTTGCCACTTCTGCCCGGTAATGTGTCGCCATCTAGTTGGTTGCACTTAAACCTGATAAATGTTCCAACTTCGTATGTGGGGTGTAACATTGCCGAGTAATTCGCAACTAGGTTTTGCTCCGGAAGTAGTGGTTCATTTTTTGGATCCCTAGCTGGGGCAACAGGAACCTACATTCAGTTATTACTATTATGGTCAAATACACACACAAGTAATAAAATAATGAGATAGTGTGTCAAACCAACATGGACTTAAATTTTAGCCATTAAATGAATTATACTATCCTAATTATCTAAATAAGATTTAAACCCAAGAATGGTGAGTCTAAATTAATTAAATTTAAAAAAATATAATAAACTTTAAAGAAAGGAAGAGCAGATTTTTATGTTATCAATGTGATGAAAATGATATAGAGATATGGGCTACCTAACAATCCTATTATGCTCTTCAACTGATTCAACTTCTTAAGTTACCTAGTTTACTAATTAATCGGATTGTACATATGACTAGCATGCTCACACAATACTACTCGCTTATTTAAGATATATCATCGCATATATCCCTATAGAATAGAATCTACAAAGAATTCATAGAAAACATGGTACTCAACTAAGAAAAGCTATTAGGCATATCTCTATCCTAACCACGAAATTATTCCATAAGACATGGGTTCAGATATAAGTTATACTCAATCCTCTTTGCAATCTAGATTTTTTTGTCCAAAGTTCAGCCTTAAATTCGTAGATGATATTCAAAAGGTGATTAAGTAATCAAATAATTAAGGCATGATTGACTAAATAAACCAATATGATAACTCAACAACAATGACCCAGTTTGTTCCCACAAAGTGGGGTCTGGGGAGGGTAGTGTGTACGCAAACCTTACCTCTACCCCGAAGGGTAGAGAGGCTGTTTCTGATAGACCCTCGGCTCAAGAAGATGAAAAGATAAAAAGAGAAAATATATCAGTACCATCAATATAAAAAAAATGAAAATAATAAAGACATCACAAGAACCAGTGAATAAATGGAAAGCAGGAATAATAATTAGTAAATAATAGAAGAGTAGTGAAAACACAACACTAACCACTAGCAGTCTAAGACTAAATCCTATCAGCCTAGCCTCACACTGGTAGATTAAATGAAACTCAACTACCTCCTAAACTACAACCTTAATGTTCGACCTCCACAGCTTCCTATCGAGTGCCATGTCCTCGGAGATTTGAAGCCTCACCATATCCTGCCTGATCACCTCTCCCCAATACTTTTTAGGCCGCCCTCTACTGCTCCTCGTACTACCAATGCCAACCGCTAGCACCTCCTTACCGGTGCATCCAAGCTCCTCCTATGAACGTGCTCGAACCATCTAAGCCTCGCTTCCCACATCTTGTCATCAATAGAAGCCACGACCACCTTCTCCCGAATATCTTCATTCCTATTCTAATCCATCCTAATGTGCCCGCACGTCCAACTCAATATCCTTATTTCTGTTACTCTCATCTTCTAAGTATGTGAGTTCTTAACTGGCCAATACCCAGTCCCATACATCATGGCCGGCCTAACCACCGCTCTATAAAATATACCTTTGAGTAGCGGAGGCACTTTCTTATTACACAGGAATCCAGATGCTAACCTCCATGTCATCCACCCCACCCTAATACGGTGTGTGACATCCTCGTCAATCTCCCTATCCCCCTAGATAATCGACCCAAGGTACTTGAAACTGCCTCTCTTGGGAATGACCTGTGATCCAAGCCTTACGTCCATGCCCGCTTCCCTTGGCTCGACACTGAACTTACACTCAAGATACTCCGTCTTCGTCCTGCTCAACTTGAAACCCTTAGACTCAAGGGCCTGTCTCCAAACCTCCAGACTCTCGTTAACGCCACTCCGTGTTTCATCAATCCGAACAATTTCATTAGTGAATAACATACACAATGGCACTTACCCTTGAACATGGTGTGTCAGTGAATCTATTACTAGAGCAAACAAGAAAGGGCTGAGCGCGGTTCCTTGGTGTAACCCCATAACAACCGAGAAATGCTCAGAGTCGCCTCCCGCTGTCCTAACCAGAGTCTTAGCTCCATCATACATGTCCTTAATCACCCTAATGTAGGTAACCAGTACACCTTTAGCCTCTAGACATCTCCAAAGAACCTCTCTAGGAACCTTGTCATATGCTTTCTCTAGATCAATAAACACCATATGCAAATCCTTCTTCCTATACCTATACTATTCCGTAAACCTCCTAATAAGGTGGATATCTTCCATAGTGGAATGACCCGGGATGAATCTAAACTAGTGATCTAATATAGACACCGTCCTCCTCACCCTCGCTTCTACTACTCTGTCCAAACTTTCATGGCATGACTCAATAATTTGATACACATATAGTTGTTGCAACTCTGGATGTCACCTTTGTTCTTGTACAACAGAACCACCGTACTCCGCCTCCACTCGTCTGGCATCTTTACCATTAAATAGCCTAGTCAACCACTCTAAGCCTACTCTATTCACACACTTCCAAAATTCGATCGGAATCTCATCAGGCTTGGTAGCTTTGACCCTACTCATCTTATGCATAGCCCCCACAACCTCCCCAACATTGATGTGCCTACAATACCCAAAATCGTGGAGACTCTCGAAATGCCCCAACTCGCCTAGCACAATATCCTGATCCACTTCTTCATTCAGAAGTTTATGAAAGTAAGTCTGTCATCTCCGCTTAATCTGGGCCTCTCCCATCAATACTCTACCGTCCTCGTCTTTGATGCACCTCACTTGGTCTAGATCTCGGGCCTTCCTCTCTCTCGCCTTGGCCAGCCAAAATAATTTCTTCTCCCTACCTTTGGTCCTTAGTTCCTCATACAGATGACTAAAAGCCACAGATTTAGCCTCCGTGACTGCCAATTTCACCTCCTTCCTAGCTCCTTATACTTCTGTATGTGCACACTCTTCTCTACCTCGCATGTGCTCCCAACTAGCTTCAAGTACACCACCTTCTTCGCTTTCACTTTACCTTAAACCAATTCATTCCACCACCAGTCGCCTTTGTGCCTGCCAACATAACCCTTTGAGACTCCCAACACCTCTCTTGCTGCCTCCCATATGTAATCCGCCATTGTTGACCATATAACGCTCGCGTCCCCACTACTCCTCCAGGCTCAATTAGCTGATAACCTCCCTTGCAACTCCTAAGATTTATCCTTAGTCAAGGCTCCCCACCCGATCCTCGGGCGACCTCGTGTAGTCCTCTTGTTCCTCTTCATCATAATACCGACGTCCATCACCAAAAGCCTATGCTACGACACGAGGGCCTCACCCCAAATCACTTTGCAATCCTTACACAGCCCTCTGTTGCACCTCCTAAGGAGAAGATAGTAAATCTTAGTCTTCGCCACTATACTCTGAAAAGTAACCAAATACTCCTCCCTCTTTGGAAAACTAGAGTTAGCAATCACCAGCTCAAATGCCTTTACGAAATCCAACAATAAAGTACCTCCTGCGTTCCTATCCCCAAAATCGACGCCACCATGCACATTGTCATAGCCGCCTGCAGTCAACCCAACATGACTATTGAAATCTCCTCATATAAATAACCTTCAGCAGGCGGAATACTACACACAATCTCATACAAGCCCTCCCAGAAGCTCCTCTTGACCTCCTCATCCAAGCTCCAACCACCAACTTAATATACATTAACCTATAATTCACCCACCTAACCTCTACCACAAACTCTTTAAGTTCCCTATCCACCAGAACGCCCACACCATTCTTACCCTTCAGGACTCCAGAGTACCATAACTTGTACTTATCTGCATTCCTCGCCCTCGATCCTACCCACTGAGTCTCTTGGACACATGCTATATTGACCTTCCTCTTCTGCAGGATCTTCGCCATCTCTATAGAATTACCCGGCAATGTACCTATGTTCNCCACCCCATCCCTCGCCCGGCACCATGACCTCCCCGAGGACATGACCTTATTGTACCATCTCGAACTACAGCCATTATACCTACAACATACTAAGGAGAACCAATATGATAACTCAAGAAACTGAAATCAGTATTCAAATAACAATAGTCATGAAAGAACCACAATCCTAGAACGTGAAGCTTAGCTCCACATAGATATGGTAGCCAAATAATAAATTATCCAAAGAAACATAAAAGTACAAATTTGGCAGAAGAAAAGATGAACTTCAAGCTCCATGGTCGTTCCTTGCTTTCTCTAGGTCATAAGTTGTGAATCGTGTTTAGGATATATTTGTAGGTGTAGGAGACGTTTTAGTCCATTCCGAACTCGAATTAGACAACCTGGAGAGCATATGTTCTGGGCTAGCATGGCAACAACCTTGACCTCCACCTTCGTGGAGGCCACTTGATGGCCTCACTTTACTGGTTTTCATGGATATCAACTTCATTAGCTTGTTCTCTTGGGACGTGATACAATAAAGGGAAGACATCTCCTCCTGAGCTTAGTTTTCTTGTGCTATTGACTCAAACTTGTGCCGAATAATTTATTTTAATCCCACTTTGGGCTAAAATCACTCTTACACATATAAAGCACATAATAAGCTCAAAATACATCAAGAACAATACAACCCATAATAAATATGCATAAGATATAAGGCGAAAATATGCTAGTTATATGTACTCTTTAGTTCAATATCAATTATATTAGTATAACAGTTATGTATATCTTTTATTATTTTATTACTTCGGAAGAATCAATTTTCACTACAAGTGATCAGGTACATTGAGATGAAGCAATTCTAAATCCATGGAATAAGGTCAGTATGTCTGCATTAGCATGTCTAGCAATGGGATACTTAATAAGAAACCTATAATTCAATTTTCCTTATGGTCCCTGTATGCGGCTAAAATCGGAGAGCCCAATTTTATGATCATTATTACATCCCATAGCCCGTCTTCAGAAGGCCTGAGGACCAGTTTGAGGCTCGACCCCGGGGGTTCCCTATGCTCGACCTCGGGGCAAAGCAAATGGGCGGCTATGATGAACGAGTGGGAAACTCCCAAGTCACGTGAGTAAAGCTGACCAAGTCTATTGAGCTAGCACAAGCCCGTACCGTGGCATTAAATGGTTGTACTAGCTGCATACCTTTGTAATAAATGTATATGTACTATGTTAGGATTTTCCCTCCTATATAAAGGGGACCCTTGTCATTTTGTGAAGGGGGTTGATATTCAATACAAGAACAAGAATATTCTCTCCTCTCTAAACTTAAACATTCTCTATTGTCTTTCCTCAATTTTATTACTTACACTTATTGCATTTCATTTTTTTATTGTTCTTCATTTGCTACTCATCATTGGTCATAAAGAGCCCTAATGAAAGCTCTTGAGACTGTTATTCCCCATTAATCGGCCCCAGCCTAAGGCTTTAGCTCGACCCCTAGGTCCCGTATAGTCTGGCTCGAGGCACCGATCCTCGGTCACTCAGTTTGCACAACACACAATCTTCAAGCTCTTATCTTATTTTCTAGACTCACACTTAGCATCTATTGTCAACAACTAGCATAAAAGTAAATCAGATATTCTTAGAACCACAAAATCAAATCTAATTGTTATTACCATTTTCAAGGTAAACACCGGAAATGGCTCCTCGAGCCGAACAGGTACTGAAATGATCGAGTAACAATGGGTCAGCAGCCGACCCCGCTATTATCAAGATGCTCGAGGACCTCACAATGAGATTTGAATCGGGCGAAAAGATGATAGAAGCTAATGAATAAAAGGTGGAGACCTGCAATTCAAGGGTCGACCAGATCCCAAGCGCACCCTCGATCTTGAATGGTGTTGATTCAAAGAAATTCGTACATAAACCATTCCCATCTAGTGCGGCTCCGAAGCCCATCCCGAAGAAATTCAGAATACCCAATTTCCCGAAGTACAACGGAACCTCGTATCCAAACGAGCACGTAATTGCTTACACTTGTGCCGTAAAGGGAAATGAACTGAGGTACGACGAGATTGAATTCGTCCTGTTGAAGAAATTATGGGAAAAACTTTCAAAAGGGGCCATGATATGGTATCACAAACTATCCCCAAATTCGATAGACTCATTCGCCATGCTAGCAGATTCTTTTATAAAGGCACATGCCAGTGCCATCAAAGTTCCTACAAGGAAGTCCGATGTCTTCAAAATCAAACAGAGAGAAAACGAGATGTTGTATGAGTTTGTATCTCGCTTTCAAATGAAGCGAATGGAATTACCGCCAGTCTCCGATAACTGGGCAGTGCAGGCCTTCACCCAAGGTTTGAATGAACGAAGATTGGTGGCTTCGAAGCAGCTGAAGCAGAACTTGGTTGAATATCTTACCATGACTTGTTCGGATGTCCACAATCGATATCAATCAAAAGCTAGGGTCAGGGACAACCAATTAGGAGCCCCCTCGGGCTCAGTATATCCTAGTAGGCTCCTGGCAAAGGAGGCAAAACCAAACAAGGAAAGGTACCAACCATACACTGAAGATCAAAGAAATGCCCTAAGGCGTAACATACCCCGAAATAACCGAAGGGAAGACCGAGGTCAGAACCCTCAGGGACTCGTGAGCAGAGCCGGGTTCAACAGATAACAGGGTTGACGGAGGCACCCCGGTTATCTGAGTACAATTTCAACATTGATGTTTCAGACATTGTATCTGCCATTGGCAAAATAAAAAATACCAGGTGGCCAAGGACCGTACAATCAGATCCATCGCAGAGGAACCCTAACCTGGTGTGCAAATTCCACGGCACACACGGTCATAGGACCGAAGATTACAGACAACTTCGAGAAGAAGTAGCTCGACTACTTAGCAAATGGCACCTCCGAGAGTTCCTCAGCGACCGAGCCAAAAATCAATTTTGGGGAAGAGATACGAACAAGAAAAATGAAACAGAAGAGCCAACATGTCATCCACATGATTGTTGGGGAGTCGACATCCCATAGGAACCCACTATCAAAAGAATAAAAGTATCTGTTGATACCCAATTTTTCCTATATATTTTTATAGACATATATACTTTCAAAACAGCAGATATATGCTTATAAGCATGCACAGGGTTTATTAAATTTTTCTATAATTTTAAAGGCTTTAAAATGATTTAATTCTTCCCCTTTTACTTATAAAATTTCCAATAATTATCCTTCAAATTATTGTTGTGGTAATTTAGCCATCTAAGTCCTATATTTATGCCAAAATAGTGCTTAAGTATTTTTATTGTATTTTTTATAATTGCATTTGCATTTTTAAAAATAATTTGCATATATTTGCAATACTAGCCCTATTAACGCATAATTACATTTATATCCATAAAATGATCTTCTATATTTTTAAAGTGTTAAATACCTATTTTAAATCATTTTAGTATGCAAAATTATTTTTTAGAAATCATATTATAAATTATATAGTGTTAAATTGGCTATTTAAAACTTAGCCAAATTGTATTTCAATTTTAGCCTAATTTCAACCCAACACCGAGCCCAATTCTTAATTAAATTACCCATCCCAGGCCCTAAATATACCTACCCGACCCAAGGCCCCATCAGATCCTGGTCGTTGATCTAAAAGATCAACGACCCTCGTTTGTTTTTTCCTTTTTAATAATTTCAAATGACCCCCTAACCCTAATCACTTCTCTACATCCGCCGCCCTAAAATTCTCTTTGCTCTCAAAACACTCTCAACCTAACCCTAATCTTCAACCGCCGACCTCCCATCTCCGACCATCTCAGGTGACCTCACATCATCTCTTAAGCCTCCAATGGCTTTTCTTATGCCATGCTTGCCTTCTCTAAGGTCTTCAAGGTCCCAGGGCCATGCCGACTTGTATCTCGGGTTCATCTCCTGCCTGTTCTTGGCTATTCCAATGTGATTTCAAGCAAAATCATTCTATATTTGCTACGACCTTTGAGTTTCTGGACAAGTTTCTTCATCTCTATATGGAGTCTTTCAAAACCCTAATTTCTTTTCTATACCTCCTAGATCTGTACGGATCTAGAACGATTTGAGTCTGTTTCTTGAATGTTTTACACTGTCCTTGAGGTTCTTTACAAGAATCATATAATTTCAAGTGTTTTTCATCTTCTTCTAAAACTAGGGTTTTCGGAACTTCTTTTTAAAACCTTGTTTAACTGATTCTTTGTGTTTAAACTTCTATTTATCACATATCTTGACTGATTCTATGAGTTTACTACATCTTTAACTCATCTATGTTGAAAGACCTAATTTTCTAGGGTTTTTTGTTTGGTTCTGTGTATCAGCATGACTGACCGATTCTCATTTTTGAGTTTCTTTGATTTCTCGTGACTATCTTGCCTTGATATGTTTCTACTGATTTTCTTAGCCTGAATTTACACAGATTCTGTATGCTTATGTTCATCTTGACTGTTCACATCAAGACTTGCATCTTTTTCACTGAATTAGTAGTGTTTAACTTTCATGTTTCCTAGAGTTGCATGTCGACTTTTGACTATCCAAGTCTTACTTTATTTATATGCTAAACACTAACTAATGACTTTCTCTTTGATTGATTCTAAATTCCCCGTTTCTTGGTTTGATTCGAACACTTTCCTTTAAACCTTCAATTCCTACCTTTCTACCCAATTTGATTAATTTGCTTACCTTGTCTTTATTGGTACTTGATTCTTACCGACTATCTCCTTAATTAGAGTTTTTCTGCACCTAGCCCTAATTGTTTACTCTATGCCTACTATGTTTGAATTATTTCCCTCGTCTTTTATGCTTCAGTTACACATTGATTTCTTTCCTTATTTGTTATTTGTTCTTATAGTTTGAACTGATTCCCTTAATTAAGGGATTACTTGTACTAATTTTGCTCTAATTGGTTTTGAGTTCCATAATTACTGTACAATTGTGATTCTTGCCTTATTTTA